CTTGCGCGACTTTTCCCTAACTACCGTGTTGAGCTGATCAAAGATTATTAGTTTATGTTACCCGGTGTCTGTACTTCCTTTTTTATATATAATAAATAAGCAGAGCCAACGCATATAATGACGTCACGCGTACTAACAGAACAGTTTTAAACACAATTCTTCGTTTCGCTCAAAATTATTACCCAAAGAACTTGATATTTATGCAATTTGCAATACTTTGATCATTTTTAATCAAGAATTTTATGAACACATGTTAATCCCGTTTTTTTTTTTTTATCAACAATTTGAATAGGTTAATGTAAACCATTAAAGGTCCAAAGAACTAAAATAAAATTTTTCCACTAATCAGAGTTGATAATTTGCTAGCATGCAAATATCAGATAACTCTTACCTCAATAATATAGTCCTTCAGGCAATAAGCAAGTTCGTTAGACCAAAGATCTAAATCATTTTACCAATAACCCATTAGACTTACTAATAGTTCGCATTCTTCAAGAAGTTCATCGACTTTGATCGTTATTAATGTGAATGATTAATTAATTACAGGTTATCGCACTAAATCTAACAGAAATTATTTAAGCATGGATAGTTTACCTACTCTTGCTATTTTTGATTATTCCTTAAATAAATTAATCATTAAAACGAGTCAATAAACATATAGTAAATTCAAATTTACATAATTTACATGATCATATGACAATTACCTCTTGAACCATGATGTTTGTGTTGCATTCCACTGAGAATCTACAACCATTGAAGAGTTTCGAGTATCATGAGGATGTGGCCACTGATAAGGTGGATGACCTCCGTATGCATATGGTTGAGACCATTGTCCTGGTGGTAATGCAAAATTGTTTCCCACATATTGAAATTGAAGATTATTTGTTCCGTATGGATAAATCGCAGGTTCTTGTGGTACAATTGGATTATAAAAAGGCGGTATTTGTCCTGCCTGCTGGTTTTGGACAACTCTATGTGGTTGTATAGACTCCCAAGGATGTGATGCATATCCGGGCGGATGTAATGGAGGCGAAATAATCTGACCTGACGTATTGGTAGATACGACTCCCGCAATATGAGGAGGTAAAGGATTTAACGGATATGTGGGCATATTTCCTTGAATTACTGCTGGATTTACCGTTGATACGTTTGCTCTGAGCGTATTTGATTGAGCTGTTGATACATTTGTTCTAGTAACTTCGGTTTGCTTAGTATTTGATGATATCAAATTGTTTTTGGCTGCTTTGACTTGTTCAGCACCTGATAATTTTGCGTCCGGTCGTGTACTTGATGAAGGATTTGATGGATCTG